GCCGGTGGCGGCGGCGCTGGACAAGTGCAAGCGCAAGCCCTCCGCCTCTGCCACCGGAGCCTCCTCCTCCGCCCGCGGCGCATGCGACGAGGCAGCGACGGCGGCAGCGGCCGACCCCGCCGCCTCCTCGATCCCCGCCTGCGCCAGGCTCCGCTGGCCTCGCCGGGCGGGGTCGGCCGGGTGAGCTGCCGACGACGACGACGGAAGGATCCGGTCCACCTCCCGCGTGCCAGAGCCCACCTCCGCCCCCTCCGCTGCCACTGCCGCTGTCGCCCCCGCCGACCCCTCATCACTGCTCTCCTCCTCCTCCTCCTCCTCCTCCTCCGTCGTCGTCGTCGCCGCCGCCGCCAGCTTGGCGCCGATGCGCTGCGCGATCTCCGCCTTGGAGCCGTATGATTGGACTCCGACCTCTGGAGCATCGCACAGCCCCTTGAGCTGCTCCACGCTCAGGCCGCCGCTGGCGCGCAGCCGCTTCGCCAGAGCCTCCGAGTTGCCCCACCCCACACTCAAGCCCTTCTGATCGCAGAGCGGCTTGAGGCGGCGAGGCGGCAGCAGCTCCAGCCAGGAGAGGTCGACGCACGACGTCCAGGGCGCCGGGCCGGCCTCAAAGCGCACGGCCGGGCGCGCGCCGCGGTCGGAGGAGCGAGCTCGCTGCTCAGCTCCCGTCGGCTCGGCTCCCGCCGGCTCAGCGCCCGCCGCCATCGCCCCTGCTGTCGCCGCCGCCGCCGCTGTCGCCGCCGCCGCCGCCTCTTCGACCGCCCGCGCGTACGCCACCGCCGCCTCCACCGCCGTGCCGAAGTAGCCGATGGTGACCTGCCTTCCGTCCACCCTGTTCTGCGCCTTGAAGCGCGAGCCAATTTTGAACACGCCCTTGTAGCCGGTACTGCTGATGCTGGAGAGATGCAAGCGCAGCCCGTCCACCTCTGGCGCCCCCGTCGGGGGAGGTTGAGCCGGTTGAGCCGGAGGCTGGTACTCGCCGACCGTCCGCGCATACGCCACCGCCGCCTCCACCGCCGTGTCGAAGATGCCGATGGTGGGCTTCCGATCTCTCCAGCGGCCCACCGATCGGTGCGCCAGGAAACGGCCAGAGGGGAGCTTGGTCACGCCCTTGTAGCCGGTGCCGGCGGCGCTGGACAAGTGCAAGCGCAAGCCCTCCGCCTCTGCCACCGGAGCCTCCTCCGCCTGCGGCGCATGTGACGAGGCAGCGACGGAGGCTGCGCCGGCGCCGCCGCTCGCGCCGCCCGCGGCCGCGGCCGCGCCGCCGCCGACGCCCGCGGAGGAGGTGGACTTGCGCTGGATGAGCGGCAGGAGGTCCACCGCCCCTGCTTGAACCTTTGCCGAGGGCGCCGGGCCGGCCTCAAAGCGCACGGCCGGGCGCGCGCCGCGGTCGGAGGAGCGACTTTGCTGCTCAGCTCCCGCCGGCTCGGCTCCCGCCGGCTCAGCGCCCGCCGCCACCGCCCCTGCTGTCGCCGCCGCCGCCGCTGTCGCCGCCGCCGCCGCCTCTTCGACCGCCCGCGCGTACGCCACCGCCGCCTCCACCGCCGTGCCGAAGCTCCCGAGGGAGAACTTGATTCCGTCGGCCTTTCGCACCGCCTGAAAGCGGCAGCCAGAAGCCCGCTTGTGCACGCCCTTGTAGCCGGTGGCGGCGGCGCTGGACAAGTGCAAGCGCAAGCCCTCCGCCTCTGCCACCGGAGCCTCCTCCTCCGCCCGCGGCGCATGCGACGAGGCAGCGACGGCGGCAGCGGCCGACCCCGCCGCCTCCTCGATCCCCGCCTGCGCCAGGCTCCGCTGGCCTCGCCGGGCGGGGTCGGCCGGGTGAGCTGCCGACGACGACGACGGAAGGATCCGGTCCACCTCCCGCGTGCCAGAGCCCACCTCCGCCCCCTCCGCTGCCACTGCCGCTGTCGCCCCCGCCGACCCCTCATCACTGCTCTCCTCCTCCTCCTCCTCCTCCTCCTCCGTCGTCGTCGTCGCCGCCGCCGCCAGCTTGGCGCCGATGCGCTGCGCGATCTCCGCCTTGGAGCCGTATGATTGGACTCCGACCTCTGGAGCATCGCACAGCCCCTTGAGCTGCTCCACGCTCAGGCCGCCGCTGGCGCGCAGCCGCTTCGCCAGAGCCTCCGAGTTGCCCCACCCCACACTCAAGCCCTTCTGATCGCAGAGCGGCTTGAGGCGGCGAGGCGGCAGCAGCTCCAGCCAGGAGAGGTCGACGCACGACGTCCAGGGCGCCGGGCCGGCCTCAAAGCGCACGGCCGGGCGCGCGCCGCGGTCGGAGGAGCGAGCTCGCTGCTC